AGAAAGCAGTCACCTCTTGTTGAGACCCGTGGCTTAGGCCAACCCATTAAGTGCTTCCAGGGCAATGATTGCTCATTTGGGGTCCTCCCATTAGGCAGAAATGGCCTTACAGCTCAAACTTGGAGGAGGATCCTGAGGGAAGGAACAGTAGGAGGCTGTTAGTTAACTGCTTTCTGCAGCTGAATAGAATGTCTTTCCTTGAAAGTAACTTAGAGCCTCATATCTCCCAGGCCACACATTCTCTGTGTAATTGATGTCCTCCTGTCTAAGAGGACAGGTCTAGTGTGCATTATTTGGTCACCTCTTAAATATTTCCAGGATTGTGATCTGTGCTCCATTATACACTTCAGGAAGAGGATTCTTTTGTTATGGAATCTCTCCTGCAGCTTTAGCCAGCTTCTTTTCCTAGGTGATTATTACCTCATTTTGATATATTTCTCAGTATCCAAAAGGTGAAATATATATTTTTTAGACTTTGGAAATAAATCCTGCAAATGAATAACAGTGAAGGAACTGCAAAATATAGTGTCCATTAGTTTTAGAGCATATGTTGTATCCAGGTCACTGCCCAATTTACTGTGGTCATCTTTTTCTTGTACTTTCTACTCTTATGGTCTGCCTCTTGAAAACATTCAAGGTGTCTGTCAAGTCTTCCTGATGGATGGCTATGCTGACCATCACAAATTTGATGCACTTCTAATACTGAATTCACTTAAGTGTCTAACTCTGATAGACTCACTTTTTAAAATATCTCTAAGACTGGGAGCAATTCAAAAATTATATGAGCCAATCACAATGTTCTAAAAACATCAGTACACAATGCATCTCTCTATATAATACATAAATAAGGTTGCATTATAGATGCAAGATAAAATAAATGAATATGATATCTAATGTTTAAACTTTCCCAAATATATTGTCATTTTATGGGAACAGCTATTAAAAGACATATTTAAACATATACATTTTTAAATACTTCTAGTAAATGTGCTATTAGCATAATGTGTAATTATTATTTAAGATTAGGTACTGTGCTGGGAATTTCATGTAATTTGTGGTTTTGGTGATTTCATAACTTAGTGGGTTAAGGATCAGAAAAATCATTAGCTTACTTTTTGAGTAGTAAATGTGTTGAGGGTTTAACTTTGAAAGATGAAGTTTTCAATTGTTTCAAACAAACAATGTGGAAAAACTCCTATGACTGTTTTCGACATTGTTGTCTGTGAGGTTTGAAAGGACTTAATGAAATCAAGCAATGTCAATGAGAGTTGAAAGAGGCTGGGTGTCCAGGACACAGATTAAAGGAGCTAAGGCAGGAGAAGCAGGGTATCTGGATTTGGAACCGCTTAGAATTTAAGGCTCCCTACTTTTCTTACTAGTTCCTATGTACTTAATCACAAGACTTATGGTTATGTGTAAAACAATCAATTGTAGCTCTTTGGTTTATAGTTTCAGTTATAAAAACATCCACTATCTATCCCTGTGGTCTCTTTTTCCTTCACTGAGTGTTCATTATAACTCCTTTGTTTAGCACAGAGAAGACACATTTTCAGATCCTCATCACACTGAATGAAATTCTTCCAGGGCAGCTGCCTAAAACCTTGTAACAATGTTATATATTTTTATGAAACAAGTTCCCAAGTTCTTGTTTGTTTGTTTATTTGGTTTGTTGTTTTCATTTGTATCAGCCATGTTTGCCTTGTGTTTAGAGAATATGCGTATTTCAGCTAAAAGGATGTTTGATTGCTGACGGAACTGCTTCAGCTGTTCCGACATTTCCTTGGAATTATTTACTCTTCCCAGTTTAACCATGTGCCTATAATAAGTCTCTGTTTAAATGTAATTTATCCCTCAACTGCTAAGTGAAGGGATTCAAAATGATTCAAATGACAACTTTCTGAGAAGATGCAGGTTAAATTTTAAGAACATCATTAAAAATCCAATTTAAGAAAGAATAGGTAATGGTTCAAATCCCAGTGTGGCCAAAAAGAAAAGAATAAAGAACATAATTACTCTTTTTTAAGTGCCTTCAAATGATTCTTGTTTTCATATATAATGAATTCAGGGCACATCCTAGGATATCATGGACTGGAGCTCCAGAATGCAGTCACCTCCATCCCCATCTGGCCTTCACTGGGATGCCCTGTCACTGTGCCAAGGTTCAAGCCTCAAATATACCACTCATGTCCAGAAGAAGCTTTCCTAACACATATTCAGATATGTTCTCTAACAATTTAAGCAAAGAACATATTTTCTCCTCAATAGAAAATGGAAGGGTAACTTACAGACATGATTTAGAGCCCTAGGCCAGGAATCAGAAGGCAGTACTGCCAATTCTGAAGCGACTTTACATGACAAGCCAATCACCTTTGCACATCTGTCTGTCCAGTCTGTAATAACCCGTCACTGGTTCCTGTGAATGCTGTATGGCAAAATACGTCAATATTGGAAAGCATCCGAGAATTTTCAGAACAATTTGTGTGATGGGAATACAATTTGTGTGAGTGTGAACATTTCATGGAAGACATATGACGCAAACTAGGTTAGTGAATAAAAAGTTATTTCAGTTACTTGGCTGAAACTGTTGGAGAAGGCATACTAGAAAGTATGACAGACAAAATGCATATTTGGAGGTAGCTGTAAAGGGCCTTTTATGCTAGACCAAGGAATACAGGCTTTTCTTTATTAAGAGACCAAAAAAGTTACTGAATGTGCTAATTTCTGTGTAAAAGAGTTTTAAATGTATAACTTCAGTATCTCCTTTTCATTGCAAAACAGTGAGAGTTGATAAAGAGTTGAGATGAATATAAATTTATTTTCTTACAAATTTCTGTCTTTCAGCATTTATTCTAGAAAATTCAACATAGAAATTTACTCAATAGCTACGTGACTTTGGGTAATTTATTTAACTTCCCTGTGAGTCACCTTGTTTTTCTGTAAAATGAGAATAATAGACTTACCTCCCTGGTTCTTTGCATTATATAAGTTCCTGCAGAAAAGCAGTTGAAACTTTCTGGCCCATGGTAAGCATTTGCATGTTAGCTGCTATCCTTTTTGCTTTATGAATTTCAGAACTCAACTGGGAGTCTGGTTTTCACATAGTTATATTTAATTTTACTTTTGCCTCTTGTTGCTTTTTGGTTACTGTGCATTTTTATTACGATGTGCCTAACTGTTCCCTCTTGTTATTTCTGGCTGCCCTGATTCTCAAAAAGGTTACTTTTCATCAGTTCTGATAGGCAATATCCCTGTTGAGAGAGACTCAACAGAGATATTGCTTCATCCCTGTCTCTTTCTTTTTCCAGAAATAAGATTAACATAATTAACACATTCTTACTATGTTCTCTATTCTGTTTACCCCCCATTTCGTGTTTTTCCTCTGTTTGTCTGGAATTCTTTCTGGATAACTTCTTTATTTATCTTCCTTCTTTCTTATAGTACCAATTTCTTTAGTTTTGAAGACCCATCAGAATGGTTGGACATGAAAACTGCCATGTGTAGAAAGTAAATATCTAGGAGTAAATTCTGCAACAGAATTAAGTGAGCTAATCTAGGGCTGGGGGGATTGGTTTTTGTACTTAATCTTTGCTTTAGTGAGCTAGGAATATAAATGCTTTGTTAGAAAACCTTTGTTTATTTTTGGAAATTGAGCAGGTCATATTATCTCAGAAACTTTTTTAAAATTAATCATTTATTCACATGTACATACATTGTTTGGGTCATTTCTCCCCGCTGCACCCCTCTCCTACCCTCTCCCCCCACCCCCCTCATTTCTAGGCAGAACCTGTTCTGCCCTTATCACTAATTTTGTTGAAGAAAATACATAAGCATAATAAGGAAGACAAAGAGTTTTTACTAGTTGAGTTAGGGATAGCTATACAGAAATATTCCTACCATTGCTTTTGTGTACACATGTGTTACGACCCACGTTGATTCATCTCTAACTGATCTTTACACTGGTTATTGGTCCCCTTCTCATGATAACCTCTGTCACTTTAAGGTTTCTGTTTTAGTTCCTCTGGAGTGAGGCCATCAAAGACTTTCATGTTTTGGGTTTTCTACCTATTTCTATATCACCCATATGTGCTCTCCCCTTGTCATGTGATCCAAGTCCAACCACATTGCTATATTTGCCCTAGATCTAAAATCTGCCTATGAGGGAGAACATACGATTTTTGGTCTTCTGAGCCTGGCTAACCTCGCTCAGAATGATGTTCTCCAGTTTCATCCATTTACTTGTAAATGATAAGATTTCATTCTTCTTCATGGCTGAGTAAAATTCCATTGTGTATAAGTACCACATTTTCTTGATCCAGTCATGAATATTGAGGCATCTTGGCTGTTTCCATAACTTGGCTATTGTGAATAGCGCTGCAATAAACATGGGTGTGCAGTTGCCTCTGGAGTAACCTGCTGGATCATATGGCAGATCTATGTTTAATTTTTAAAGAAGCCTCCAAATTTTTTTCCAGAGTGGTTGCACCAGCTCGCATTCCCACCAGCAGTGGATTAGGGTTCCTTTTTCCACACATCCTCGCCAACTTTTGACAGATTATCTGACGTTGAGTCAACTATGTAATGACTTCTGTGAATTTATATCGGTAATTTGAAAGTGAAATCCCAAGAAAAGCCAGTTCTTCCTGAAATTCAGTTTATCTGTCTTTAAAAGAAAATTGGACATAAACATTCTGCTGGTTCTTTTTATTTGTTTTGAGGCATAAAATTTACACTATTAATAACAAATAAATATGCTGACAGTGTGCTGTAGTATGCTGTGTGTGGTCTTGCAATCTCAATTGTGAATAACAAGTATGCTTTACTTCAAGTTTTTTAGACTTGAATTTTCGTCTTGAACGTTAGGGACTCATAATATAAACTCCTTAAACAATGACTTTAAATCTACTTTTCAGTGAACAAAAATAAGAGCAATTACTGGAATACATGAGCAGAATTATGATCACCCTAATAGACTGAAACCAAATATTCCAGAATATTTCTATGTATTTTCTACCCGTATTTTTTCAGAAGAGCTAAGGATTATCCAGCTGAACTAAGGTAATAGGCATGAGTGTGTTGCAGTATGGCAAAAGCATGATATTATTTCATATTAATCTTGTATTTGTAATCGGAATTTGCCATTTGTTCATAGATAGTTCATTAGTTAACATATTACATTAAAATAGTTTTGTAGAAAAAATATCTGGTCTTTGAAGTTTAATTTATTATTTCTGCTGATTCTCACTTATAGTTAATTGTTTTCTTATATGTTTTGTGAGTATTGATTATAGAATTTCACTGTCAGATTTTTTTTCTTCCTATCCAAACCCATAGTTTAAGATTGAAATTTTTATTTTGCTGTTCCCTGGTTGGAACCCTGGACATATGGAACGTCCTGTTTGAACACAGGCTTGGGTGGGATCTAGATTTTGTTTTTAGAGCTCAACCTCAGAGCAGCCATGAGCATCCCCCAGATCTGTCAGGGTTTGCAAAGCACACTAACAGTGGACGTTGGCTTTGCTGCTCAGATCTCTCGGGTCATATTTTATCTAAAGTTTTGACTTCTGATCTCTTTTCCTCCTAAGTATTTCATAAAGACACTTAAGAGTACTTTATAAATTTTGAATATTACTTTAAGAAGGAAGGTTGAATCGTGACATGAGGTCCCAAGTTGCCCAAAAAGGAAATATGCTATCCCTTGACTATGGAGTGGTACTCAGGATCCCAACAAAAGCCTGTCAGACTCGACATGCAGGCAGGTGACAACAGCACTGAGTTACAATTCTGTCTTCTCTCTGTCCTGGTGTTGGTCACCACATGGTGGAAATATTTCTGGCAGCAGATTCCTTTAGAGGTTGTTTTGCTCAGATTCTAGTAGCCATTATGTATACCACTAAGCAAGAAATAATCTTGAGCCATATTTTTTGTTCTCATATTTTAATTAAAATTATAAAGTTGAAATGAAGAGTTAAACCACTCCGTAAATTCTTGCTTCAGCCTCTTCCACAAGGTCAGATTTTGTTGCATTCAAAAGAGTTGTTAGGAACATGTGGTGACTTATATCTGCAATACCAGCTATTCAAGAGACAGGGAAAGGAGAATTGTGGTCAAGACCAGCCCAGGCAAAAGTTAGTGAGACCCTGACTCTACTTGAGAGGTGGGGATTAGGATATCATGTCCCAAAGTCATCCAGGGCAAAATTCAGAGACCCTGTCTAAAGAATAGACACAAAAAATGATTACGGTATGGCATGAGTGGTAGAGCCCTTGCCTTGCAAGCTCAAGGCCGTGAGTTCAATCCCCAGGACTGCCTCCCCCACCCCAAATAAAAGATGTGCTTAAATTTCAAAGGATAAGAAAAATAGATCTTCACTATGATTAATAACATAGTACAAAAATCCATGGTGAAGAATATTCCTCTAACAAGGAAACACTGTGAGATGAGTCTTCCAGCTACATCCCATACCACTTTGTAAGGACACAAAACTGTCATTTGTTTTCCTGTGAGACACTGTATCATAAGTCAATCTGGTTATATTTGAAATCCAAAGTTCTGTCTGTCCACCCCCTGACATGCTGCTTGGACTCAAGGGATGTATGGTAGCAAACATAAGAACACAAAAACATAATTTTACTCTTATATCTTCCATATCTTCTGTCACATTTTATCATGTATTGTTTTTGCACAGGCACACTGGGGTAGAGGCACACTGCCTCTAGAACACAGCTCCCCTGTATTCCTTCTCTGTGAGCCCTATTCTCACTTTACTCAGCCCTTAAAAAAGATCTTCCAAGAAAAAGTGCTTTAGTCTTGGGAAAGAGTCATGTCTGGGATGGAGCATAAAGTCCACAGGAAACGAGACAGTTCATAAATTATTTTCTTCACCAAAACTTACATCTCCAGCTCTCATAAGGTAGCCTTGGCACATGCAAATGGAGCAGGAACTCTTGTATTTAATCCCGCTGTTCTAAAGTGCCAGAATAACTAACATTCTTTATTATCTCAATAAATAAAAATAATTCAGAATTTAAGTAGGTTCATCTTACTTTATTCACTGTAGCTTTGTAAGTTTGTGAGTTTCATGGTTACCAAGATCCGGTTGTGTTTGTCTCAAGTCTATTTATGTACCTTGTCCCTGTTGCTGTAATTATGTAATTTAAATAAGCATCTTGGAAATCACAGACCTATGAGTGCCCTAAAAGTGATAGTACTTAGCTTTGAAGAAATAAAAACAAAACTGAGTGCTTTGGACATATTCAGTAGGAGTGACTGGGAAAATGCTGCATTAGCTGTGTGAGGAGAGTGTTTAAAAATAACAAAATCCTCAAAGGATGCTGAATAAGACCATTTCACATGTTCTCACACTACTTTAAGGGCATTTGGAATTGTTTATGTTGTGTTACAAGCACAATTAATACATTAAAGATTCATGTAATGCTGAGATAAAAGAATGTGTCTTAAATGTTTTTAGTGATCCTTATTAACCTAGAGTTAGTCCCCATTGTGCAGATGAGGGGCTTCAGAGAGTCTTGGGGAGATTACCGTGGAGTCCTGCGTGGGGTGATGTAGCTTAGGGGAAAGCAGAGTGCTTACCTCAGTTCTCCCTTAACCATCTTGTGGCCTTGGGTAAATGATCTTTATCAACAAGAGATCTGCTGTTAGTTGTACAGTAAGAAGGCTTAGCACAATATTACTAGTGTTATGGAAATCCTAGAAATGGTGATTTTTTTTCTCTTGTATTCTCAGTACTAAATAACTTTCTTACAGGAGGCTAGAGATTATTCAATAATTATTTCCAAAATATATTAATTGAATATGGGTCAAGTTGCCAGTCACTTTTCTTGATGCTGGGTCTATAAAGATAGATGGTGTCGTGGGTACGACATTTAGATAGGAAGGACAGATGATTGCTAAGTAAATAGATAAGTAGAATAACCTCAGGAAATAAAGCTTGCTAAAAAAGAAGAAGAAGGCAGGGAAAATTATTGACAGTAAGAGGAGGGGCTTGCTGTTGTAAGGGAGATGACCAAGAAAGGCTTCTTGGAGGAGTAGTCTTGGATGACTTAAAGATGTTCCACAGGGGGGTCTTCAGATAGCTGAGGAGTAGCAAGAAAGTGAATGTGGTGTAATGTCAGAAAATAAAGTCAGAAACTTAGGCAGGGACCAACCTGCATATGGCCTTGAAAACTGTAAAAGGATTTTGGATTTAATTATGAGAATAAAATACACAAGTTGAGAGATGATGCAGCCTGATAAATGCATTAAAATATAATTCTGGCTGATCTGTAACGATAGCATTTAACAAAACTGTATACGACTGCAAAGAGAGGTCAGTAGTTAAAAATAAATTCTCTCTGTCTCTCTCTCTCTCTCTCTCTCTCTCTCTCTCTCTCTTTCTTTCACACCCACACCCAAACCCAAACTTTGCACATACAGTGTTAACAAAACAGTTTCCTATGTGCATTTTTTAAGACTGATAATCAGATAGGAACATATTATCACTTCATTTATTTTATATAACATATGCTTAGCACTATTAAGTTGTGATTTTCAAATACTTATCCATGCTGTCAACCTCACAATGCCTGTATTCTTTATAATTTGTTCCTGAAACTAATATAGTGACTACTTCCCATACTTTACTTGCAAATATGTGTAATAATTCAGGGGAAATACAAAGAAATATAATACCTGTTCATACTCTGGGCTTTAAATGTCACAGATTAGATAATAGTGCTTGTTATTAACAGCTGAAAGAAGTTTTTCTAAAACTGCAAGATTTTTTAAATGTACCCAATTAGTGGTTTCTACTCATTCCCTCCATTCACAGCAATGTAATAGGTAGCTACTATTTTCCATTAAGGCATTTATAAATAAACATCCTGACTTGCTGTAGTAACATTTCTTCACTGATTATAATTTAATCTGGCATCTAGTGGGAAGTTAGTACATTTTCGATAAGTTTTCATGTTTTATTACTTGGACACTAATTTGACTGAATTCATAACTGTTTTCAATGGAAGCTCCTAAAAAGTTTTGCACTTCACAATCTTCAAGGTTATTGCATATGTTCTTTGCTTTACTCAAGAAATAGAGAGAAGGAATAAGAAATAAAACAAAAAAGAGAGGATGTGATTTAGATATCTTACAAAGAATGGCTTTTTGAGAGCTGTTATTTTCTGTGCATTTAAACCTTATGAACCAAGCACTGGTGCTTGAAACTAAACACAAGTGTGTGCATACACACACATCTCTCAGAAGAGATTTTAACATAAATTGAATTCTTTCTGCAATCCTATTCAATGTACCACTATTTACATTTAGGAAGAAATCATACGTATGTAGAGAGATTATTGCATGTATAGATAGATTATTTTATAATGGCCTACAAGACATCTTATGGTTGATTTCTTGGCTGAATTCCTACTGAAGTTGTCCCCTCTCTCATGTGGTCACTCACTGTCCCTTCAGTCTGTGTTGAGTTCTTCACGGCATGTATCACTTTTTGACATTGACTCACTCGTGTTCGTTGCCATTCTCCCCAAACTCTTCCATTCAAAAATACAGGTTTTGGAGACCAATGACTTCTTGAGATTTGCTGAAGATCCTTCTCCACTGCTCCAACTCCTGCCATCCTCACAAATCAGTTCTTCTGTCATGACTTTCTCTTACAGTGCCCATGTGGTGTTGTGCTCTTTGTAGCTTCCTTTTGCTCTGTAGGCATGAGTTTCCCTTTGATGTTCCCAATGTACACACATAAGTGCTCGGTCCTGTTAGCGTTTGTGTGAGGACTAAAGGTAAAGACAACAGGGGGATTAGAGGACATTGGTAACAGTCAGGGGAAGGACCAACTTCAGGGAAGCAGAAGCTTGTCAAAACAGTATTACCTTCCCAGAACTCAATCCAAGAAATCCCATAAGGAAGTGACTGCTCTAATTCAAACGTACATTTTTCTTGGATCAAAATTAGAGTTCTACCAACTTTTGTTCTCATTTGTAACATGTTAAATTTCTTTTCTTTTTTTTCCTTTGGTAACAAATGTATAGTACATAAAAAAGTAAAAATGTTTTCAACTGTAAAAATTAGCTAAGAGGTCATTTTTGTGCTTCAAATTGTACTTATTTCTATTATTTGTTCAGGAAAAAAGTATTGAGTGGAAAATTTATTTTTTAGTGGGAGGTAGTATAAATTAGTCAATCATTAGCACTAACCTTTCTTCTCCATTACTGATACCTAATCATAAATTTAAAATATACTATCAAGGCTTAGATTTAAAAATATAGATAAAATGGAACTAGCTTTCTAAGGTAAAAGAATTAATAAGAGATTCCCTTTTTGGCTGTGACTATATTAAATTATACCCTAGTTGAGGATAAAATGTTTGTTTATATTTTTAAGTATTGCCTAAAAGACAGAGATAACCTAAACTTCTAAAATCTATAGAAAGGACTACGCCAAGAAAATAATAGCTATGTAAATTTTTAACTGAATAGCTTCCTCTATGTAAACCAGCATATTCCTAAAAACTACAGCTTCTTGTGTAGAATAGGTGTTTCCAGTGCATATCTGACAAATGCTGGCAGGAAGTGTGTGTAGTGCTAGGATTTTATGTCCTTTTCATGTCTCTTGTACCTTTCATTGAATAAAAAGAAACAAAAGTGTACTAGTGTACTGTTCTGTTTGTGGATATAAAAATATTATTAGACAAAAAACATTTAAGTACTCATGAAAATTCTTATTGCCTTTTGGTTTAGGTTAGCAAAAGATACTGAGATACAACTCACCAAAGGAGGGAACCATAGGACAGTGCAGATAACCACAGGAGTTATGAGCAAAGACAGTTGACATCAATAATTAAATGAGAAAATTCCCAGTGGAGGGTTAGCTGAGCTACTGGCATAATGTGTAAAATCACTTGGCTAACTGGTCATTAGCTATGTTCTGGACCACAGGAGGATATGTTCATGTAACTGGTACCTCCACCATCCATCTCTATATCAGTAATTTGTCTTGTGTAATAAATACAGCTATTACACACTCCCTCGAGAAATAATCATCCCTGTCAGAGTCTGATGTTTTTACTATCTGTGAGAGAGTATTTCATATAAGTAAATGTGACAGGGAAAGTATATCACTTTCTTGACGTTTTTGTGTCATACATTCTAAACTGAAACACAAATTATATTACTTTTGTGAATACACAAGTGTATATTTATCTGACCTTTGCACTAAAAGTTATTTATTAGGATATCAGGAAATTTTTGCCCTGGTTTGCTCTTTTGCTTATCTTATCCCTTTTTGAAAACTGTTATTAATCTCAACAGGAACTTTAATGAAGGAACATCAGTGCTGATAACCATAGTGGGACACAGAAGATTCCAGGGACCAAGGATGGCTGCCTCTTGGAAACCAATCCTGTTTCTGTCAGTCACCTGGTGTATTTCAGGTAAAAATGCCAACCTAAATGTTGGGTTTTCTAAGTACTCATTAATTAATTAATACATTACAAAATGCCATGACAATGTTTATACAGCTCAAAAAATAATGACCAAATAACCCTTTAACCTATGTCAGCATTACAAAAAGTTCCACCCATTCAAGATAATAAAATGTGTGGAGAGCAGAGCCTGTAAGAACTCTCCACCCTTTTTACCACTGGGTATAAAAGGTCTCGAAGGAGGGATGGGGGCTTTTTGCTTTCTGCCTTTGGCTTTTACTTTGGGCTTTTTGGTGTGGGAAGCTTTTTGAAGGGAAAAGAAGTACCGAAGGGAAAAGAATTGCTAAAGGGAAATTTCTGAAGGGAAAAGAATGGCTACAGAGGGGTTGATAGAAAGTCTGCACTGAGAACTTTAACATAGGCCTTAGAAAAGCAAGGCCAAAGAAAGAACTTTAACATAGGCCTTAGAAGCTAAAGAAAAGCCAAAGAGAACATGGGACAGCGCAAGATAGAGAACCGAGACTTTGCAAGTCTGAGCACCAAGGCTTTAAGAAAGCTAAAGAGAGAATGCTAAAGAAAAGCTGCAAGCCTGGGGGCAAAAGACTTTAAGAGCGATTAAGCTAAAGATAAATGAAGAGAAAACATGGGACAGTGCGAGTGTCAGGAAAGAGGTTTTAAGCAAAGTTTTAAAGAACTGCAAGGAGTAAGGCCTTAAAGAATAAAGATAGAGAAAAGAAGCAATGAGGGTTGGGGGTCTCCACCAGAGCACCTAACACATCTGACCCTACTTTCTGTCTGTCTGTCTATCCTGTGTCTTTTCTGAATTTCCAGTCGCCCCCAGTTAAACACAGTTAGGTTCAATAATAGCCAGGAGTGAGAGAGAGAGACAGAGACAGAGAGAGAGACAGAGAGAGAACTCATTCTAACAAGGGAGGCAGTGAAAAAACAGTGCTCCCTTCAAAACTGGATTATAAATATTAGTAAAACAAGTATGCACCTCATTGAACTCCACCTACAATCTAAATCACTGTTTAGATTCTATATATATATATATATATATATATATACATACATATAGTACATGTTTATATATAATATATATATATAATATATAGCAATTAATTATGAAAATTATCTCATTACAATGCTGAATTTCACCATATAAAATACGAACCACATTGGCTTTATGACAGATGTGTGTGAGAGAGTGTTGGTGTCTGGCACATATGTGACATTTTAAAAGGCATCAATAACACAACATATTTTTTCCTAGACTTATCTCAGTTCTCTGACTTTGTTGTTATTATCATTTTGCTCTGTATCTTGGATCCAAAATGAGATATTTTATTCTGCACAAGCAGTTTGGTTTTTGAAGCACCAATATCATAGCAACATGAAGGAGCTTATTTGCTTTAATTTAAGGGGGTATATACAAATAATGATTACAGCTGGATTAGGTTTAACTCTGTACATGCACTCCAAGTAAAATTTAAGAAATATGTGACAGAGTTTTGAAAAAGTGTAACTTGCTGCTAATTGTAGAAAAAATGATTGTTTTTATTTATAATCATATTTTCATGTGGTTAAGTATAGTAGATAAAATTTTTTAAAACACTATGATATTTATTTTGGTGTATTTGGTCATTCCGTTATTTATGCACATACTGAATACAAACACATAGGTGACATATGCATTCATATATATACAATAATATATCATGTGTATGTATGAAAATGTGAATGATATAGAATATATAACCATATAAAAAGAGAGCTTGTATTTTACTTGTGGTCACAAACAGCCTTGAGTTTGATGTCATGCTATATTGTCATATTCAATTGACTATGCTAAAGCTCATTGTTCCATACAAGCTAACATTTCCTATATTAATTGTGTATCATGAAGAAAACTGCAGATTGTTTACAAAAATGGAAGCTAGAAGAACAATCCCAGATAGAAGTGAATATAATTTCCTTGCAGAATTACTTGAAGCATATTTGTATGTCACAGTTCACTCTTTAGATTTTATAGATGGCTTATTATTTGTGAAGTAATTTCAACCATGAAGAACGTGTAATTATTCCTGAAAACCAAAAGATAACCCTCAATTTTCAGTCAGATTGTGCTCCAAAACCTTATTTGAAATCTGAAGTATGTTCTCTATGTGCACAGATAAATTTAATATTTCAGTCATAAGTTGAATGTATAGAGATATAATATCTAAATATGCATGAATGCATCTGAATGCTTTTAAGAGCTATCCAAAAGCCTCTTATTACAGTACTAGCCATTAAATAACTGTAAAACAACAAACTAAACAATGACTTATTTATCATTAGTACTATACATTGAACACTGCTTACAGAGAAATTAAGCTTAATAAGAGACATAAAAGGCAGGATGAGACCTTTATAAAATATTGCTAGAGACATCTGTGACAACATGGACAGGTGAGTAATTTCAAAGACATTAAAATTTAAATGAAAATCTTGGTTCATCAATATTATGGTTACTTGGAAAAAGAAATGAAGAGTCTCCAGATATTTCATTCTATCTTATGTTCTTCCCTCTCTGCATAGTCTCACCATCTTCTCTGCTGATCTACTTGGCTTTTATCTTCTAAATATCATTTTCTGTTTAAACTCGTAAGCTAACTGATGGGGTAGAGGTAGGATTGCAAGATGAAACAAAAAATGAACAGTGAGGTTTGAATGAAAAAGCACATAGGGCCTGTTCTCGTTCTAGTATGTTCCATAGAATGTTTTCTTTCACTTCAACAGGCTGTCCAGGGTTTTTCTTTGCAAATGTGATATGCTAATGGAGGGAGGGTGGTGATCTGTAATACCATCCCAAGTTCCCACCCTTGAATTGGTCTAACATTATTTTACCAAGTATGCAGTCACGCCAAAAGAGATGTTACATTGTGGTAATGAATGCAAAACAGACTCAGCCTAGAGGGGTCCCTGATGTCTCAGATTCCAGTTCGCACAGTATCAGGTTGAAAACAATGGGCAGTTATAATTACTTCATGGATCTAACATTCAATCATATTTGAATTTAATAGGGAAAATACAGTTATTTTTAAAACAGATTAATGTCAGCCCTTCTGTAGATAGCTACTTAAATAAAATCTACTTACACTCAGAAGGATCAGTATTCATGGATGATTACCTTCAACTTCTCGCCTCCATCCTTCCATTTTGTCATCATTCTGGAGCTACAACCTCCATTCTGCTTTGGTTACTCGTCCAATACTCACATTTAATATTTGCTTCACTATTGTATTACTTGGTATTTTTTTCTTTAGCTTATTTGCTATTTATTTTAAGCTATATATGAGGATCACATCATAGGGACTATTTGGGAAACTGAGTTGCTTATGATTATAGAAAGTGGAGATAATTAGAGCATATGTTCTGAGCACATTGTAGTTGCTTCTGCTTGAATCAACAAAGTTGACTAAGAAACAAGAGAATACACAGAATTTATTCCATATCTGTTTATTTACTCAGTTTTAAATTGACTTTGTTTAACTAAGAAAGATAAAAGAACTCTTACACAGTACAACCCTGTGTTTCAAAAGTGGCTTCCCAGAGTGGTGAAAGGTTGGTGAGTTTCACAGGGTTACATTCTAGTATTAAAAGTACACACAATCCACCACACATATCAAAATGGCTGAAATTCCAAAGAATAAAAATGAATAAAAACAATGCCAAATGATGGCGCCAGATGCATAGCTGCTTCATTCACCAATGGTGGACATATGGCCGCTCTGCAGATCGTTTGGCTGTTCCTTATAAAGCTAGACAGTCTCACTATATGATTGAGCAGTTTAATTCCTAGGCATTTTTCTTACTAATTTAAAACTATGCACAATTATTACATACCAATCAAAAAGGAAAAAGGCCCACTTTGTGTCAATATAAAAACCTGCCCACCAATATTTACAGAAAAATTATTAATGATAACCACAAATGGGAAACCGTAACAAAGGTGTCCTTCAGTAAGTGAATGGATGAACACACTGTGGACACCCAAATAATGGAATACTATTGTGTGATAAAGAATGAGTTACAAGTTGCATGAACACACAGGTGATTCCTAAATTTGTATTGCTAATTAAAAGAAACTATCCTAAATATGGTATGTTCTCTTCTCTCTACTCTCTCTACTCTACATCTATTCTGTCTTATATTCTATAAGAATCACTGCCTTGATATTCTGGGAAGGCAAAAAATGTCACTATGTGAGTGTGGTGTATGGGAGTATAACATGGAAAAGAGGATAGAAAGTAATTTTCCAATGCTTGAGTATGGTTGACACTGCCTCTGCTGAGGGCTGATCAAAGCCAATGGTAGCAGAGATAGCTCAGTTGACAGTATTGACCCTTGGTAAGTGTGAGGAGAATGGTACCTTGTCTCTGTGGCCCCAGATAAACCATAAAAAAGTCATTGGAATGGTTTCAGTTTTTCTCCATTAAGTATAATGCTGGCTGTAGGTTTGTCATATATAGCTTTTATAATGTTGAGGTACTTTCCTTGTATTCCTAGTTTTCTTAGAGCTTTTATCATGAAATGATGTTGGATCTTATCAAAGGCTTTTTCTGCATCTATTGAGATGATCAAGTGGTTTTTGTCTTTGCTTCTGTTAATGTGGTTTATTATGTTTATTGATTTTCATATGTTGAACCACCCCTGCATCCCTGGGATGAAGCCTACTTGGTCATGGTGAATAATCTTTTTGATGTGTTGTTGAATTCGGTTTGCCATTATTTTGTTGAGGATTTTTGCATCAATGTTCATTAAGGAGATTGGCCTACAGTTCTCCTTTTTGGAGGTGTCTTTGCCTGGTTTTGGGATAAGTGTAATACTGGCTTCATAAAATGTGTTTGGCAGTTTTCCTTCCCTTTCTATTTCGTGGAACAGTTTAAGGAGGGTTGATGTCAATTCTTTATTAAAGGTCTGATAGAATTCAGCAGAGAATCCATCAGGTCCTGGACTTTTCTTTT